ACACACATCCACCTCTGGGTCAGAGCAGAACCAGCCAGGGTAGAGGAGAGAGCAGAAGCTTCTCTGGTGGGAGCTTTTCTTAGGAGGTTTTCTTGAACCTTTTTGGAGCCTGTTTAAAGTTTTCTTTATATCATTGAACGAGTCTCTGTGTTTTCAATACCCGACACCCTCCGCACGTTCTCGGACACAGGCCGCACAGCAGACGTGACAATGGCTTGCTATTAAGTCACTCTTGCAGAGAACCTGGGTTCAATTCCTAAAGCCCACATGGCTGCTCTCCACAGACTCACTCTCGTTCCAAGGGCTCTGGCACCCTTTTCTGACCTCTGCAGGCACTGGTGCACAGACATGCAGGCGGAACACCACACATAAAAACAAAGCAACCTCGACTAGAACAAAGCTGAGGAGGGCTGGAGAAGTACCTCAGAGCTTAAGTGTGTGCACTGCTCTTGCAGGGGACCAGGGTTTGCTTCTCAGTAACCACACAGGGCAGCTTCAGGGGCTCTGACACCTCATATGCACATAGTCACACACAAGCACACATACACAGAATTTAAAACAATAAAACAAAACCAGACAAATAAATAAAACTTTAAAGATAACTAGGTGAATACGGCAGCACATGTCTGCAATTCCAGTACTTGGGAGTCCGAGACAGGAGCACTGTCGTGTGTTTAAGGTCAGCCTGGGCTACATAGCAACACCCCATCTCACACACAAAAAACAAAAACAAAACAACAAGAACAAAAAATACAAAACAACCCTACTGTGGGCAGACACTGCTCTAGACATGGGAATCAACTGTGCCTATCAGACTGGGTCCCTGTCCTGCAGGAGCCCACGGATGCAACATTCCAGACAGACACATCAACATTTTCACCCTGTGAGAGCAGGGTTTGGGTGGGGGAGCCGTGGCAGACATGTGAGCCTGTGGCTGAAAGTAGCCTGGAGTGCGGGTGTCGGGGACTTAAGGAAACAGAGATTTCTGAAAACATGGCAATCCTGAAACTGAGCTTAGTGTCACTGTGCCTTGCCCTCTGCAGTTCATGTGGGAATTCAGTTCCCAGTGTAAATATTCTGAGAGGTGGGCGCTGGAGATGGCTCAGTGGTTAAGACCTGGGTTCAGTTCCCAGCACCCACATGGCACCTCACAACCATCTGAAACCCCAGTTCCAGGGGGTCTGACATCTTCACATCAGTGCACATAAAATACATTTAAATAAATCTTTTTAAAAAAGAATTCTGAGAGATATGGGGTCTATGTGGGTGATGAGGTCGTGGGATCCTGCCCCAAGCTTGGGTCAGTGCGGTTTTCACGAGATGGGGTAGCTCCTACAAGAGTAGACTGTTGTGAGGCATAACCTGCCTCGTGCCTTTCTGCTTTCCGCCAAATTATGATAGTATGAGGCCCTCCCAGGTGTAAACACACAGATACATAAATTTCCAGCCTCAGTGGCAAAGCAACAGAGCACAGCAGCCTGCAGAGGGAGAGGGAACGTGTTCAGTGCCACAGAGGGGCTGCACGGGCTTCTCCCCAAGCATGGCCTTGAGCTGTGGTGTATGGGGAGGGGGGAGGAGCTGTGGGTCTCACACAAACAGCTGGCCCATGGGGAGAGCCCTGAATGATGGAAGTCTGGAACCAGGCTGTGAGCTGTGAACTTCCCTTGACCCTACCTGCTGCCATCTCCCCTGCTGCCACCTCCCCTGCTGCCATCTCCCCTGCTCCTCCATCTCCCCTGCTCCTCCATCTCCCCTGCTGCCATCTCCCCTGCTGCCATCTCCTCTGCTGCCATCTCCCCTGCTCCTCCATGTCCCTTGTCACTCAGCATCTCTCTGAGCCCTGCCTATAGTCTCATGGCATTTCCTCTTTTCCAGTTTCCTGTTTTTGAGAGGAAGTCTCATGTATCCCAGGCTGGCCTCAAACTCCCAGCCCTCCCTCCTCCACACCCCACCTCCTAGGATTACGGGGCGTGTAGGCACTGCCGTGAATGGTTCATGAGGTACTAGGAATTGAGCCCAGGGTTTCCTGCATGCCAGGTAGGCACTGTACCAACTAAGCTACATTCTTTCCTGGTTTACTTATTTACATCTTATTAGTTTAGAGATTTATTTATTTAATTTTAGGTATATGAATATTTTGCCCCCCCCCCATGTATTCCAAGTGCACATGGAGTCCAGAAGAGGGCGCTTGAGTTGGAGTTAGAGGTGGTTATGAGCCACCATGAGTGTTCTGGAAACTAAATCCAGGTCCTCTGGAAGAGCAGCCAGTGCTCTTAACCAATGAGCCATCTCTCCAGTCCCTATACTTATAAAAATTGTTAATACGATCTGGCTATGTAGCCTAGGCTTGACCCTATGCCTCAGTCTCCAAAGCTCTGGGATGACATTTGTGCATCACTATGCCCAAGTCATTTGCTGATGTGTGGCAGCTCAGGTTGTGACACTGTGCAGTTCAGGTTGGCCTGGAGTTCATGACCTTCCTGCCTCAGATTCTCTCTCTCTCTCTCTCTCTCTCTCTCTCTCTCTCTCTCTCTCTCTCTCTCTCTCTATCTATCTATCTATCTCTCAAGATTTATTTATTTATTTGATGTGTTTGGGTGCTTTGTATGCATACACATCTGCACACCAAAGGGGTATCAGAACCCATGGAACTACAAGTAATAGATGGTTGTGAGTCACTATGTGGTTGCTGGGAATTTAACTCAGGACATCTAGAAGAGCAGCCGGTGCTCCTAACTGCTGATCCCACTCTCTAGCCCCTGCCTCGGGCTCTTGAGTGCTAGGACTACATGCCTACACTGCCATCCTGTCTTCCTTTTGAGTGTTTTTTAATATATACATAAAACAGCAGAGATATTACCGTAGAATTATCTCATCCTAATTTGATGGCATCTGTAAGATATTATTTCCAAGTAAGGTCCTTGTCAGAAGGGACCTCAACATATACTTGGGCAGGATACAACTGCTCTAATAAAAACTAATAAAATAAAGGTGGTTTCTGCATGCATGGAGTTTTTTGTTTTGTTTTGTTTTTTTGGTTTTACGAGACAGGGTTTCTCTGTATTGTTTTGGAGGCTGTCGGTCCAGCCCGGCCTCGAACTCACAGAGATCCGCCTGCCTCTGCCTCCCTGGTGCTGGGATTAAAGGCGTGCGCCACCAACGCCCAGTTATGGGTGTTGCTGAACTGAGCTACTGTGACCCTGTTTTGGGGTCACACATCAAGGCAGCAGATGCCTGGTTACCGCAAGTGTGCTCTGGCCTGAAAAACGCAGCACCTCCTGCCCTCTGTAGCCCAGGAGTGGGAAAAGCACGCGGGAGCCCACAGGGCCATTGTTCTTGGCCTGCCCAGCTGTGTTGAGACATCAGTACTCAGGCCATGGACATCCGTGCTTTAGCAATTGATGGATCTAGGTTCCCACCTGTTTCCTCTCTGGCAGCTTTGCTCTGTGACCCTAAGACAGTTTCTCAGCCTCTCTGAGTCTCCATTACTGCCTTAGGGAAGCATCGAGGTCACCCATGTCCCTACACTGCTCACTACCCAGCAACCACTCATTCAAGTATTGATTATATTAATAAATGTGTGAATGACTGCAAAGCTCTTAGGACCAGCAAACAGTAAGTGCCAAGAGAGTAAGTTATATTTCCAGAACCTGATATCTGCCAAAGTTGTTATCCTTGGATCTCGAATGACCCAGATGTGTCATAATAATAGTTAATAATATAAGCACATATACTAATAATTAGTTGGCATTTATAGGCTCTTTGATGCCAAAAGAAATGTAATTATGAGGTATCTTAATCCAAGAATACCATAATACCTCTAGCATATATATTTGGGGTAAAACATATTTTCCTAGGAATAATCTTCTTTTTCATCAATTAAAAAAATATTTGTGTGTGTGTGTGTGCCTGTGTGTGTGTGTGTGTGTGTGTGTGTGTGTGTGTGTGTGCCCGCAGAGCTCAGGAGAGGGTATGGGATCCCCTGAAGCTGCAGCTAAGTTCACTTTTCTGAACCTTGGTTTATAAAGCCAGGAAGTTGTTAGACATTTAGGTTTGGTATAATCAACACTTAGACTGAACTTGTCATAAGGAAGTCCACAATTGTCACTTGGCTGTGACTTAGGCTACTCAGCTCCTTGCTGGAGCAGCTGGAAAGGACCGTGTTACTTGGGGACACTGAATGCAGGGAGATACAGCTCACCTTTTACCATGGTGCCATCTCCCCACACTCAAGTGACTTGGTAGCCATCTTACTGCCTGGACACAACCCACAAGAGGGGTCAGACAACTGCGGCCTGTGGGGTGGACGCCAGGTGTTCTTGAGATAGACGAGCAGCCGTGTGAGGCAGTCTGGGGTGCCAGTGAGTGAAGGGGCACTGGAGATGGAGCTGCTGGATGGAGGCCAGGAAGAGGCCACCGAGTAAGGGTCAATGGGCACTGAAAATGGAAAGGTATTGGGGGGGTCCTTGGTGCATGGTCTCTCCGTCTCTTAGAACGTCAGTTCCCACATCAGTAAAAGGACAGTAATGAGTTACTGTGTTGATGTGGCTCAGGGCCTGCTGCCCCACACCCTGTGGAATGACCCCAGCCTCCCTGTCACATACAGGCACACGCACACACGCACACTTCATGCATGCACACATTCATTCTTAATCTCGGCTCTAATCTGGTCACCAGAATTGACTTGTTGTATAACCTTGGCAGCAACATTCCCTTCTTGGCTTGTCACAGGGGGAATAATTATAATGCCCAGGTCACTAAATTTTTGTGTTGGGATAACGCCCACAAAGCACTCATCCACTAGGACCAGGGACATATCCCGTGCTCAGTCACACCTGCGGTTCTTCCATGTTGGGCAGCTTGTGGAAGTCCTTGAACCACACATGACTTCAGCAAGTAACAAGCACTCTAGGCCGCTGGCCTCCACTGTGCTCCATTCTACAGACACCCTCCCGAGGGTCCCATCCCAGAGCCCCATCCAGTCACGACAGTGAGACTGATTAGCAAAAACACATAAAATTCCTTTACTTCTGAGTCTCCCCTCGTAAGAGGAAGCTGGAAATAAAGGAGATTTAATGAAAACGGCATAATTAGTCAAATACTTCTCGGTTAGGCTCTCTTGTGCAGAGACCAGCCCCGGCCAGCTAATAACCCCAGGGGACCCCCAGGGTGGCACCAGGCATGGCTGGGGAAGGCTAGGTGCCGGAGGCTCCCTGGTCGGCCCTTCTGCAGCAGGGAGCCTGATGGGAAGATGGGCAGGGTACGTCACCACCTTAGGAAGTCCCTAAGGAACTTCCAGAGCTTAGTGACCCAGAGATTGGCACCAAGGTCAGACAGGTACTGGATCTCGGGCGTGAGCATGCGCCGGCAGAGCTGCTCGTGATGCGGCCCTATGCTCTTCTTGAGGTTGTAACCCAGGATGGACTTGACGCCCAGGGGCTGCCAGGGCTGCATGGCCGAGTCCTGGATGGCCTCGGCGTTCACCGCTTGGCCGCCATCGATGCAGATGCGGCGCATGCGCTCGTTGGCCTGGCGCAGCTCGGCCACCTCGCGCACCATGCGCTCGTGCCCGAAGGCCTCCACCTTGCGCCAGAAGCTGGCGTTGAAGTGGTGGTAGAGGCGCGCGTCCAGCAAGTTCCAAGCGGTGGCACGGCGGTACAGCTCGCCCGAGAGCCGCGGCACCGGCGAGTCGCGCCGCGCGTTGAGCTTGAAGTACAGCATGTCCTCCAGGTCCCAGCACAGCAGCTCCCGGAGCAGCACCAGGGACTCGTCGAAGTACTCCTGCAGCAGCACCAGGTGGAAGCGGCTCTCCACCTCCAGGATGTGCTCCTGCACGCGCGGGCTGCCCGGGTCCAGGCCACTGTCGTAGCCCAGGTCGAAGAAGAGTAGGTTGCGGAGGTAGTGCGCGTTGTAGCCGCTAGGGTCGTAGTAGCGATCAGGGTCCTGAAGGAACTCTGCCAGCTTGTCGCGGCTAGACAGCTTCCAGGTGAGCGGCACCACGGACCCAAAATAATGGAAGGAGGACTCGAAGAGACGCGCGGGGTCGCGGATGACCGTGATGAAGGCGGCGCCTGGCCGCACCAGCCCACGCACCTCTTCGTAGTGGAAGCGCATGTGGTTGCAGATGATGTTGAAGCACGCCCCGGGCCGGTAGTCCTGCACCAGGCTGCGTGCGAAGAAGGACGGGTAGTGGAAGTCGTTGCGGCCATTGGGGAAGGCGAACTTGAGCCCATGCTTCTGGCCGAAGCGGAAGAGAATGTTGAGCAGCGTGCTGCTGGCGGTCTTGTGCGTCTTCATGAACACGATGTCTCGCCGAGGTTGGCACTCTCCGGCAGAGCTGTTACCGGGAGTGGCCACCCCTGGTTCACTGGGAGCAGGGGAGCAAGGTGCTGCAGTCTCCGAAGTTCTGGGGGAGACAAAGGGATGGAAAGAGGTCAGGGGGTTGCAGGTGGCAGTACCATTGGAGGGGCTGGGAGGTGCTCGATCTGGAATAGCCTGGCAGCCACGACCCGCTAATGCAGCCCTGCAGGTTTGAACTCATTGCTTTGTGGGTGCTAGACAAGCACTCTACCAACTGAGCTGAAATTTCTCCTGCTCGATATTCTCTCTCTCTCTCTCTCTCTCTCTCTCTCTCTCTCTCTCTCTCTCTCTCTCTCTCTCTCTCTCTCTCTATCTCTCTCTCTCTCTGTCTCTGTCCATCTCTCTGTCTGTGTCTGTGTCTCTCTGTCTCTTTCTCTATCTATCTCTCTCTGTGTGTGTCTCTCTCTGTCTCTGTCTCTGTCTCTGTCTCTCTCTCTCTCTCTCTCTCTCTCTCTCTCTCTCTCCCTCCCTCTCCTTTAATTCCAGTACTTGGGAGGCAGAGGCAGGTGGGATTTCTATGAGTTCGAGCTCAGCCTGGTCTACAGAGTGAGTTCCAGGACAGCCAGGGCTACACAGAGAAACCCTATCTCGAAAAAACGAAAAAAAAATCAGTTATTGGCAATATTTTTCAGATTACCTTAATACCACTAACTGTGGCACAGGTTGCACCAAATATATGTTGAGCAGCCTCATGGGGAGATGGGATAGTCTGGTCACTTAGGAAGAGGGACACAGTCGCATAAACCCAAGTTTGAAAACTATGAATCCAGGCCCTGTGCCAGATGGGTGTTCTGGGACAAATTACACTCCATCTCTATCCTGGCCCCACTGTGGCCCTTTTGGAGGCTCAGATAATAATCCAAGCCCTGTAGGGATGCAGCTCAGTTGGTACAGGACTTGCTGACCAAGCACCAGGACCCCGGTTTGATCCTTAGCATCTTGTCAATGGAAAATGGTGATGTAATCCTATAAACCCAGCTCTTGGGAGGTGCAGCCAGGGAGATTAGAGGTTCAAGGTCATCCCTTGATCACAGGGAATCTGAAGCCAGCCTGGGCTACATGACAGAGTGTCTCAAAAGCAAAACAAAACAAAACAAAACCCCACAATAAAGAAAAGTGCACATATTGTACTAAGCTCAAAAAAAAATCCACAGTGTTAGGTGACACGCCTGCTCTGTGGGGCAGACTCTGCCTTTATCTCTACTTCACTGAGGCTTGGGTTGTATTAGTACTCAGGCATCTGTACTGGCCTGTCCTTGGGGTTCTGACAGGACACGCCCTGAGCTGCAGTCACTAAGAGCACCACCTGTGCTTATTCACCATGTTTCCTTTTAAAAGGACCCTACTCACCTCCCATCCTTCTCTCTGTCTCTCTGTCTCTCTGTCTCTCTCTCTCTCTTTCTGCTTCTCTGCCTGTCTCTCTGTCTCTGTCTGTCTGTCTGTCTATTTCTCTCTCTCTGCATCTCTTCTGCTGCCCCAGTCTCCAGACCGGTCTCCCCCTCCCCTTTTCACATTCCCTTTCCCCTAATTAAAAAAAAAAACATCTATGTAAGCTCTGTCACATGGTGTCTTTCTCTTGCATGACTCTTTAAAATTGCAACAGGTTGCACCAAGAGTTCTGCCAGAATGTACACCCAACACAGCATGGTGCAGGCTATACAAGGTAGCTGTCTAGAAGAGAGCTGCGATTGTAGATGGTGAAGATGCCCTTCCCTTACTCCCATTGTGTGATGTCACTCACGTGAAGGCCATGTTGGAGTGGAGCGGGGGTACCACATAGGAGTAGAGCAGCAACAGGAAACTGGTAAAGAGAGCTCCCAGCATCAGCCCCTTTGCCTTGGACTCCCAGGGCTTCTTCGGCAGCACAGGCATCTCAGGCAACTGTTAGGGACAGCACAGACAGAACAGAGGTGTCCAGAGGCTGGTCTCAGAGAGTCTGTACAGCCGCCGGGGCTCACAACAGGGGGCTGCTTTTGCCAGCTCTTTGGACTCCCAGGGCTGGAGCAGTTAGAAACATAGAAGACAGCAGGCTCAACTCCAGGAGAGGAGGCAAATGGGCAGAGGGAAGGTTCTGCTGAGCACGGCTCTAACTTTAGCAGACTAGTAAGGGCACGTGTGTAACACCCTCCTTTGTAGGCCTTATGGACAGAAGGAGAAGAACCCTCTTAGTCCTCTTGGTGCCCCAGACCCTGCTCATAGGGAAGGCTAGAATCTTTTTAGAAGGCAGAGCCAACCTTCCCTGTCCACTGCACCCTCCCTGCTGCAATTCAAAAAAGGATATTTAGTTTATAGTTGTGTTCCAAATACTGCATGAAATGTACTTATATTTAAAGCTGCTAACTCAGCTGGGCAGTGGTGGCGCACGCCTTTAATCCCAGCTCTTGGGAGGCAGAGGCAGGTGGATCTCTCTGAGTTTGAGGCCAGCCTTGTCTGCAGAGTGAGTTCCAGGACAGCCAGGGCTATACAGAGAAACAGACAAAACCACTAACATCTTAACAGGGTGTCTTGCTGAGTTTTTGTTTGTTTGGGGGAGTGGTTTGATCTGGATGCAGTGGCCTTATCCACAGGAGACAGAGGTGTGAGTGGTAATGGCTGAGGTCCAAGCTTCAAAACTGGAATCCAGGAAAGAGTTGAAGCTGGGGGTTAGAGGGAGTTGTAAAGCCAAGGTCTGAAACTTTCCAGTTCTCTCCCGGCTGATGCTCCAAGCCCCCGAGGCTGCAGGAGGTCATACACGCTGCCCCGTGACCACATGCGTGACGTGCTACCAAGTGCATCCGGAGGCAGCACTATCAGGTAGCCTCCATGGGAAAGTCACCCAAGGTGCCCACGACTGCTTGATGAGAGGAGCCATCCAGGCCCACCCCCAGGAAAGGTGGCAGCATTTGCTGAGCCCATGGCCCCTCCATTAGGAAGTTTGACTCACAGAAAAGGAGGAAGGAACCACACAGGAAGGAATTTTTCCTCCTCATGACAGCAGTGAGAGAAGAATTGCTCATCCTGTAAGCTGGGTAAAGGCAGGGGAGAACATTTCCAGAGGGCAGTGGTGTCAAATGAGGTTCACTGACCTGTCACTACAGACAAGTGCATAAAGCGTACCAAGTCATGTGTACCAATGGCAGCTTGATTAGAAACAGAGAGAGAGAGAAAACTTCAGTGAGCATCATCAAGGGGTAAAAGGCGGAAGTCATCTATAGATGAAAAGAAAGAGAAGTGAGCCAACCTGAAAAAAAACACCATCTAGTTGCTTGCTAACAATGCTCGAGGTCCTGGGTCAATTCCCCAGCAATAAAAAAGAAAAGAAAAAGCCTAGCATGTGGGAGACTGGGCCAGCCTTAGCTACATGTCCAGTTTGAGACCAACCTGAACTACTTGAGGTCCTGTCTCAACACATCAACAGAAGGCTGGAGAGATGGCTCAGCCCACATGGCTAGACTCACAGCAGAGAATATGAGTACTTGCTGGAATGGAGTTCAGTTCCCAGAAGCCACGTTGGGAAGCTCATACCTGCCTGTAACTCCAGCTTCCAAGGGATCTGGCACTCCTTCTAGATACTGTGGGCACACACACACACACACACACACACACACACACACACACACACACACTTTACAACAAATAAATCTTAGCCAGACAAGGTGGTGCGTACCTTTAATCCCAGCACTTGGGAGGCAGAGTCAGACAGAACTCTGAGAAGTCAACACCCGCATAATCTACATAACTAGTTCCAGGCCAACAAGGGCAACATAGTGAGACCTTGCCTCAAAAACAAAAATCCTAAAAAATAAAAGCAAAATAAAACAAAGAAACAAACAAACCCTAGAAAATTCTAGAGTGATATGCAGTACTCCTCCCAGTCCATATATGCACCTAGGTAAATACAGATGACAGCCTGGACAAAAGCAAAATGCTACTAAAGGACAGTGACGAGTGAGTGAGCTTTACCAAAAGTGCTTAGAACCAGAGAAGTTCCTGGTTTTGTACTTTTTACTTTGGGATATTTGCATATGCACAAAGAGCCATCTTCTCGGGCTGGGGAAATAGTACAGCTGGTAAAATTCTTGCTAATCAAGCATAAAGATGAGTTCAGCTTTCCTAACATCCACACTGAAAAACGAACGCCAGCTCAATGTCTGCTTGTCCTAGTGCTATGAAGGCACAGACAGGTGGACCCTGGAGTTCAGTGGCTGCTTAGCCAGTCAGCGAGTTTCAGTTTAGTGAGAGACCTCGCCTCACAAGTGTGGTGGACGAAACTGGGCAGTGGTGGCGCACGCCTTTAATCCCAGCACTTGGGAGGCAGAGGCAGGCGGATCTCTGTGTGTTCCAGATCGGGTGCCAGGACTCCAGGGCTACACAGTGAAACCCTGTCTAGAAAAACAAACAAGGTGGCGTGCAATCAAGGAAGGACTTCATGTTGACCTTTGACCTCCACATGCATGTACACACAAATGCACATGCACACACTCACACTCACATGTGTATACACATATCAGATATCTTGATAACAGCCAAAATCTAAGCATGAAATTCATTTGTTATATGCCTAAAATGTGCAGCCAGAAAGAATCCTATAGGGTATTTGCAGTGCGCCTTTGTTTTGATGTGACTTGTCACACGAGGTCAGAGGTGGAATTTTCCACTTGTGGCAGCATGTTGATATTCAAAAAGTTTCAGATTTTGGGTTAAGGATACTCAGCCTGTGTTCTACATTTCTGCAGTCTAATCCTCTGAGGGGGAGGTATAGAAAGAAATATTTCTGTAATTTACTCATTTTTACAACGTACTATTTAATAGGAAAAGGGACAATATATTGCCTCCACATCAGATTTGGGGTTTTGCTTTTTTCCCCCCCTAAGCAGCTCTGGGATTAACCTAGGCTCTCCAGCATTGCAGGCAAGAACCCTACCACTGAGCTATGCGCCCTCTCACACTTTAAAATTTACAAAGTGCAAACCAGATGTGGTGACACTTGACTGTAATCCCAGGGGAAGCAGAGGGTCAAAAGCTCAGGCTAGCTTGGGCTACACTGTAAGACAGTGCCACAAAAACGCCAATCAGGATGGGACCGGGGAGGTGTGGGCCTCAACACCTGCTTTGTTTGTTTATTTATTTAGAGGCAGGACCTCACGTGCAGTTCTGGTTGTTCTGAAACTCACTATGTGGTCCAGGCTGGCCTCCAAGTCACTGAGCTCTGCCTGCCTATGCCAACCGAGTGCTGGGGCCAAGGGCGAGCACCACTACTGCCCGGCTGGACCTCGGCATGGGCATCGGATCCCTCAAGGTTGGATTTTGACACTGACTTCCGACAAGCCTGGGATACCCTCGGAATCTGTTTCTTGTCTGTAAATTGGAGAGAAGCTGAGGAGACGAGTCTGGCTGGGCACTGGGGAGCCTCCTGAGCGGGGGGGTACACTGGTATCACTCAGAGTGTCGGCTGCAACCCTCCTGAGCTCTGGGCAAGGAGTAGTGGCGCGGGCCTGGGGAGCTGCCCACGAACTACAAATCTGCCGGGTGAGTTCCCGTCAGCCACCAGCTTTCTGCTCCGGGGGGGGGGGGGGGCAGCAGAAAGCCTGCTCCCAGACCAAAGTTCAGGCCCAGAGCAGGCAGTGAGCATAGGATAGGGGCTTAATTTCTCCGGCGTTAGAGGAGTCAAAGTTCTAGCTGGTTCTCCGTAAAGCCTGAGGGCCCACCCTGTCCTGGTAGCCCCACTCACCAGGGTGCTTTCCTGGAACTCCGAGAAGCTGCAGTGGTGGAGGTCTGCCGTGGGAAGACTGGCAGTAGGGGGCAGACCAGCGTCCCTAGCTGCCAATCAAGGGCTTTCTGGCCGAGCCAGGACGGTGTGTCCCCCCACCCGTGAAACATCACTGATGCACTCATTCTCCTGCTTGGGTTTTCCCAAACCTCACCAGGTCTCCGTGTAGACCACTAGAATCTCTGCTAGCAACTGACTCCACTCTGTGTACCGTCACCCCATTTCATAGATGGGGAGAATGAGGCTCCAAGAGGTGACATGGTTTGGTCAGGGTCACTCAGCTGGTAAAAGCAGGGCAGGATTTTCGAGCCTGTCTGTGGATCTCCCACAAACAGCTTCCTGCTTTGTATAGAGCAGCTCCTGGCTGGGATATTTGAATCCTGGGGGAAGGAAGTGAGCATGAGGGAGGGCAGAGAAGGTCAAGGCATATGAAGGGCTGGGAAGTAGAAGGGACTCTGGTGGCTGGTTCTCCCCGGCCAGCCTCCTGTGGTATTCAAGGTTCCCCACGCCCTTGCTGCTTGGCCTCTGTGAATTTAGCAATGAAATACCCTCATGAGTCTGTCTCCTCATGCAGATGGTGGATATACACAGTAGCTAAGTCAGGGAAGGCAGGCCCTCCTCTCAGCAAACTGAGGGAAGCAAGCAGCTGGCTACTACCCAGGAGCCTGGCTTGACGGACAACAACCCCAAAGCTACCAGATTCCAATGCCAGGTGATTAGCCAGAGTATTAATTATTAATAGAAATGCCGATTAACCATTGTCATCACTATTGACCAGGATCCAGTCCTGCCTCACAGGAGAGGTACCCCCGCCCCACCCCACACCCCACCCCTGCCATGACCAACTGCCGGTGATTCATCCCAGAGATGCTTGAGCCTAGCGCTAGAATGTTTGATAAATGATGCAGCATGGCCTGGGCATCTGGGGGAAGCAGCTACCACCTCAGCTGACAGCCACATGGAGAGAGAGCCTACGGGTGAGACAGACATTCTTTGAGGGTCATACATGACATGTATGTCAAAGACCCCATGAAGGTTTGTTTAGCTGTGTAGCTCTGGGATAAAGTTTGTTTAGCATGCACAAGCCCCTGGATTCTGTCTCCAGCTCCAAGAATGGCGATAATGACTATGA